AGAGATGTAAGCAGAAACCGCCATGAGGTTGCTCCTCTGCTTACCAAGTGAGCTCCTCGATGGACATTCAGCACTCTGAAGTTTCCCGGAGGCTGCTGCCCGCAGAGACCTGAGATGCTGGCCTCTTGGAGTCTATGCAGCAATTTGGCAGTGTGCAGCATGTGCCAAGGACTGTCCACATCTGCCATCGCATTCTCCCTTCCTGAGAATTTATGCTACGGATGTAATTGACAAAGGAGTGTGTGGACAGACATTTTCCTTGACACTGTCCCAAGGACAAACAGCCAAATGTTGGTGGCCCTCGGGGTACGTTCTGCCCTGGCAACTCCTTTTGAATCACTCCACATGCTCTGAAGTTATCAACTGTCACCCCATCATGTCCACAGCTCTGTCTCAAGCTCAGCCTTCCCCCTGTGTCTACAGCTGCTGCATCCTTGCTTGGCTATTCAAGAGTGAACTCTCTTTCTCTCCTCCTCTGTCCTTCCTTATCCAAACACATGGCGTGCCCGCTGCTATGGCTTGAATGTCCTTGTCCCTCTAGCCTTCATGTTGGAATAGGATCCGAGCAGTACTTGGAAGTATCACCTTGGGGACTTTGCCCTCGTGGATGGAATTAGGTGCCCTTTGAACTTCATGCCCTTCTACCTTCTGACAATTGAAGGCACAGCATTCTTCCCCCTCAAAGGACACTGCGCTCCTGGTGTCATCTTGGAAACAGAGACTGGACCATCACCAGACAGACAGCCCACTGGCGTCTTCACCTTGGACTTCATCTCAGTGGAGCTGTTAAAAACACAGTTCTGCTCTTTATATATTACACAGTCTCCATTTATTCTTCTGCAGCATTACAAACAGAACAAGACAACTGCCTCTCTAGGCACCCAAGCCAAACCTTCAGGCATCATTATTGTCTTCCCATCCCCAACTCCCCATCCACTTTCAAATCTTTCTAAAATTCCATTTTTCCCTCAAGCACTGAGAGCCTGCACCACTGCAGTCTCAGCCATGAGCACCTCCCTGAGTGTTCCCTGGAGTCCTCCTGCACCATTGCAGTCTCAGCCATGAGCACCTCCCTGAGTGCTCCCTGGAGTCCTCCTGCACCACTGCAGTCTCAGCCATGAGCATCACTCCCTGAGTGCTCCCTGCAGTCCTCCTCATCACTGCAGTCTCAGCCATGAGCACCACTCCCTGAGTGTTCCCTGCAGTCCTCCTGCACCACTGCAGTCTCAGCCATGAGCACCTCCCTGAGTGCTCCCTGGAGTTCTCCTGCACCACTGCAGTCTCAGCCATGAGCACCTCCCTGAGTGCTCCCTGCAGTCCTCCTACACCAATGCAGTCTCAGCCATGAGCACCTCCCTGAGTGCTCCCTGGAGTCCTCCTGCACCACTGCAGTCTCAGCCATGAGCACTTCCCTGAGTGCTCACTGCAGTCCTCCGAAATGGTTTCTTTCAACACAGTCTTGCTGATGTTCCAATCTTTTCTCTATCCTGCAGAGTCCTTGATTCCCGAAACCCAAATCCAACCTCATGAGCCTCCGTGTTCAGGCCTTCAGCTACTGTCTGTTCTCTACAGGATCTGTTCACATCAACATTGCAGAAAAAAGGCTTAGGAACCTCAGGCCCGTCCTTCCAGCAGTCTCCCTTGTCACCACAACCTTTTCTGTCTTCACACGCACTTCTTTCCTGTCCTTGCTACACCAGCTTGAACCCTGGGCAAATTGCTGAGGATGTTGAGAGCTGTTTCTACGCTGTGGATGTATTTCACCCAGAAATGATGAGATAAATAAAGCCTGATGTTGTGGTTCATTCTGTAATCCAAGGACTTGACAGGAGGCTGAGGCGGGAGCCAACCTAGACTATAAGATTCCATCAAAACTCCTAGGAGGAGGAATGGAAAAGGGAAGGAAGGAGGGAGGAAGGGCCGGTGGAAGGAAGGAAGGAAATGCTTAGATGGTACTTTTTGAAATGCTCAGACACTATTTTATACCACATTGTTTGTGGGAAAGCAAGTTCTGACAGCTGAGTCTCAAAATCTTGCTATTTAGTTGGTGCCAGACTACCAGGACTAGACCTTTCCATCACTCCCTAAGCACTTCCTACCTTCTTCTGTCCCCTCCTACTCACTTCCCTTCACCAACTGCACTATTTCCAACAACCCTGGAAAACACAACCACTTTACCTCCTGGAGATACAAGAATAAAGAGATCTATGGCCAAGGCAAGAAAAGCTGGGCAGACAATTCATAACACCTGGAAACAACCAAGAGTAAAATGAAGGCCAAGTTTCCAGACGGTCCCCAGAGAAGACACCTGCAGAGGAAAGCCGTTATGCCGGAGCAATCGCAAGGCCATGGACACTCACAAGGAACGGGGAATCGCTAAACAGAGTAGCTAGCTAAGCTCTGAGGTCAGCATGGAAGGAGACCCTGCTTCACTTCAGGAAAGCTATGTATTCTCTTTGTACAATAAGTCACCATGTCGGGCGTATGCTAATTTCTCGACAAACACCATCTTCTTATGTTATTAACACTGGGCATGGGTGAGCACAGAAAACGGCACAGGTATAAACCTGCAAAACCATGGCTTGAGACCAGAAATGGCTTCGCAAGAGAAGGCTGCAGGTGGCCTTGGGCCCCACAGGCTGCCTGTCCTTGTCCCTTCAACTCAGAGCAGCCACAGTGGCATCATCTAATGTTTGCTAGAAATTCAGACGCTAGGTGTCCCAGGCCTGCTAGTCAGAACCTGAATCATAACTGTCTAGGGATTCGTCTGCATATTAAAAGTTCGGGGTGGCACATCTCTGAAGTCCCAGTGGTGAGCTTGAAAGAACCTGTTCCAGCCAGGAAGAGCCAGCTGCAGCCAGTTGGAATTTGGAGATAGGATTGCTGTACTGTATTCAAGGAGACTCACAACCAGGACTAGTCAGTGGTCTATAGAACCTGGGAAACTGTTTTCTTAGGTCAGAAGAGGGAAATTTACAGGATTCATCAGACAAGGAAGTTAGGACGGAAGTCAAGTCAAACTTTCTAATATCGAGAGGGCTTATATGACCATGCGCATCAGAGGTTAGAATGGATCTGCAGAAAAGGAGATGATGTGGTGGGAGAGTGGCTGAAAGGGTCAGAGACTAAAGAGACCTGGGAGGAGGGGAGAAGTCTTCAAAGCTTTTTCCACACAGGCTCCCCTGCAGACTGTGAGCCTGACCAGACTCCATTAGCCTACCAAACCACTTTGCAGCTCCTGTAACCATAAATGAAGACGTACAGCTGGTGGAGGGGAAGAAAGGGCAAGAGAGTGCCCTAGACTCTCCAGGAAGGTCTGTACCACTTTGCACATATGCTTTGGGTATATAATACACATTTTAGGAAGGTGCAATATCTTCATTTTTATAGGAGGGCAAAGCCAGCAGTAAAGATGAAAGAACGCTGACTAATTAGCTGAGGGAAATCCTGTGAGACTGCGTATTTCAGTTCATGAAAGTAATGTGTCCTAAGCATGGTATGGCAGACTCAGAGGTCTAGAGGAGGAGAATTCAGAGATGCTCTCAACTCTCCTCTCCCTACCCCTACCAGGGATTTGCTGGTCTCAGCTCTCCTCTCCCTACCCCTACCAGGGATTTGCTGGTGGGGGAAAGGTCAATCAGTTCTCTTCAAGAGAATAGCCACCAACTTCCTCTACTATTTAATTTCTTCTTATTATTTTTGTGTTTCTTTCCTGTTTTTGTTGTTACTGTTGTTGGGTTTTCTTTGTTTTGACAGGGGTTCTCATTCTGCCATTCAGACTGGCCTGAAATGCACAATCCCCCTGCCTTGGCTTCCTAATTAAGAGGATTTCATGTCTCAGCACCTGGGTTACTTTTAATTTCAGAATCATCTTTTTGTCGTGTGCTTTTCAAAGAATCCAGCTGTTCGGTGAGGTACATCATTGACCTAAAAGAGAGAGGTTATTCGGAATCTCCCCTTGCACATCCCCTCCCTGTCCCAGTTCATCACTTTCTCATCACTGTCTTCTACCTTTGGAAAAGTCCCTTGGAACCTGAAGAACCAGTAGAAGCCAATCATTCTATCCCCAGGAAGGATTATGTGTGTACACACGCATGTGTGCAACATACACTTGTGTATGCATGCAGGTAGAGGCTAGAGGCCTGTGTCGGATGTCTATTGCTCTCCATCTTTGTGTCTTACGTGGAATCTCTCATTGAACCTAGAGATGGCTGATTCAGCCTGACTGGCTGGCCAACAAACCTTAAGGATCCAACTGTTTGTGCCTGCCTCTAGCTGGGATTGTAGGTACACGCTGCCTGCCATGCTTGGCTTCTTAGGGTGGTAGAGTGGATCCAAACTTGGACTCATGCGTGTATAAGCACCAAACCAACTGAGTCATCTGTCTCCACAGCCCAAAATGCCAGGAGTTTTGGTAGCTGACTGTTAAAAACATCCATTACAGAAAAAAAAAAGTATAGAAACCTCTAATTAACTAAGTTATATTATCACTTTAAGCTGTCACTCAGGTCTACTGTTCTGGCTCCTGCCAACCCAAACTCTCATCCATGAACACGAAGGTGAAAGAGGTATGTTTTAAAGCAAGAACCGAAACAGTCACTTCTGGGAAACAGAAATGCCGTTGCTTACTGGGAGGGCACACACTAAATGCTGTAATGTGGCTGCTGTTGTCCTCACTTTGCAGATGTGGAAACTGAGTCTTGGGAAACTTAACATTGTTTCAATTTGCAGACAGGCCAAGCAGCAAGGCAGTAACTCAAAGAAAGAAGAACCTGACTCCAGTTCATGTCTTCTTTTCTGAGTTCTTCCTTTCTGCTTAGAAAACAAATACCATATTACCAGGCCCTAGCAGAGGCCTGGAGTAAATAATGCCCCCAGAATCACTGATGCAGGCCTGGGCCCGGATGTATCACCCTAACTCCCCCAGCCACCTCTGCCATAGAGTCACACTTTCCCTGATTCAGATTTATAGGGGAAGAGAGAGCCGTGCCCAGCGGTACCTGTGTCCTTCAAGGGCTGCATCCAGATGTCTCCGCAAACTGATCTAGGCCTTCAGCTTAGCAAAACTTCCCAGCAATACACAGGATCAATGGCCGGCAAGTCTCTCTCCAGAAGGAACAGCCCCAGCCCAGCCCAGGCTGCCTTTGTTTACTGTTTGTCACTAAGCACTGGCTGCCCAGTGAGTAAGTCAACAAGGTCCAGCCACTCTCCTGCCACTCTCCTCTCTGACGGGTGACAGGCAGAGCCACCCAGCAGTCTTCTCAAGGCCAGTGGGCCCAGAGAACAGTAAGAGCTCAACCGGATTAGGGGCCTCTGAAGGACTGAAGGCTGTGGGAGCCGGCTCAGGAAGGCTTTTACCATGACGTTGCGTTATCACCTGGTCCAATAAAAGAAAGATCCCCGCAAGGAGGAGGGGACAGGGGGACACATCTCAAGAGCCACAGCTTGATTTCATCAATTCCCCGGTCCTCCTTGCCCATGAACAGTCGGGCTTCTCACCTGCACCCAGGGTAACCCAGAAGCATAGACGATCCTACCCAGGCCCAAGAACTTGGAGCTGCTGGTGAAAAGGCAAGAGGAATGTCCCTCTCATCCCTGTCCCCAGGCTCTGGTGCCTGAACTCAGGAAGGACTGAGTTGAGACAAGAGGAGTGAGAGAGGGATCTTAGCTCTCTAGAGGTAGCTGTAAAAGAGGAAATCTTTTAAGCCCTTTCAGAATTAGCAGTGTCAAACTGAGAACTATTTCTGAAAGGAAAAATACAAGGTATTTCTTGATCAAAAGAATTCAATACATTTTTTGATGCAGCTGATGGGACCAGTGAATGAACGTATTCTTCTCATCTGCAGTAGTAAGATGATAGATAGATCAAGGTCCCTCCCTTTAAGGAAAGTCAAGTGCACACCTCGTTTGCAAACCCAACCACTCAGAAGTAACTCCATGGGTACACTGGCAAAAAACCAACGCAAGGATCTGAAAAAGGATGCTTACTGTAGTTTATTTAATTTTTAATAACATGTAAAATTATCGCAGTATGTCTTTGTACCTGTCAATAGTGGGTCTGTAAACAGAATGTGGTTTACACACAGAAGAAAACTGAATGCTTAGCTATGCAGAGAAGAGCAAAGATCTGGGTCTCAGGGAACTTAGCAGCTGCTGAGAAAATGTTTTTAAAAACAAAAGGTGTTGCACAGCCCAATACGATTCATTTTCTTAAAAATAGATAGATACAAAAATCAAGTATGTGGGGGGAGTAGAGATGGCTCAGTGGTTAAGAGAACTGGCTCCTCTTCCAGAGGACAGACCCAGGTTCTATTTCCATCAACAACATGGTGATTCACCACCATGTAACTCCAGTTCCAGGGGGACACAATGCCTTCCTCTGGCCTCTGAGGGGACTGCATACACTACATAGTGCACAGACATACACTCAGGCAAAACACCTATACACGTAAACTTTTAAAAGTGAAAAAACTGAGAAATAAGCATATGAATACATATTCTTTATTTAGACGAGTCACAAAAAATGTAAAATGGTTGCTTTGGGGAGGAAAAATGGGTAATATTTTTCCTTGTATTTTTGTATCATATTGTCTAAAAGAAATACACAGTGTTGTATAAAATTTATCTTTTCCCACTTAAAGTTACTTTTACTGACACTCCCTATTAGTTAGAAAATGCATCTGTTTTGTTTCTCCCCAATTTCTCCATGCATCCGACTCAACCAGGGACTTGATAAAGTTCAGATTTTCAGGCACTGCCTTGTACCTTTTGAGCCTTTGTCTCTGAGGCAAAGCTAAGAACAGGCGGGTCTTCAGCAAGTCCTCACGTACTTTGTACTTAGTAATCTGTTCATCCCAGCTATGCACAACTGAAAACAGTCCCGAGGGAGAAAGCGAATTTCTCTAGTCATGTGGTTGTTGGTGGTAGAACACAAAACAACTCCTAAGTCACGGTCACACAGCTGGTGCTGGGCTGCCGAACATCACGGCCACCTCCATCTTTTCTCCAGAGATGCTTGCACTCACAAGCGGGCTTCTACAGATAGTCCTCTAGGTCAAACTAAAACACAGGGAAAGGCGCTTGCTTCAATACTGACATGTTCGAATTTATATGTTTTTAAATTTTTCAACTGCTTCACTCTCAAGACCTCAATTATGTTTATTCATAATTGTGCAGTGTCCTTGAAAGTATGACATCAAACAGAGACCCAACACTAAAACCAACCAACAGTTAACAAGGTTTTCTGGAGAAAGCATATGCACGTACATATACACACAGACTATGATTGTATTCAGTAGATATGGAATTACTCCATGTTAAATCCTATAATCTGCCATCTGCAAGCTGAAACCCCACTCTAGCAGAAGATACAGTTCCTGTCTGAGTTCAAATGCCAAAGAATCAGGAAAGCCAATGGGTTAAACCCCAGCCCAGGGGCAGAGACTAATGTCTCAGTTCAACAGTTTTTGCCTGAGAGAAAAAGCGATTTCTCTTTATCTGTTGGAATGAACCAAACTTCTGTCACTAAAAGGTCTGGGCCACTATCAGTTTTGGCTGACTTAGGTTGTTAAAGTTTCCTGAGGATTCTATTGTGTAGATAGAATGTACATGGTAGATGATTTAAAGAGTGTGGAGTACATGTGCCAACTAGACACAGACGCCACACTGGCACACAACTTACAACTTCAATCCAGGGCCAAGGGAAACTGCCCTTTTACCACATTATCTTCTCCAGTCACAGTGTCAGGATCCATGACAAGCAGGATACCCAACCTTGGTACCTCCATCCCCTATCTATGGGCAAAATCTTTATTTTTGGTGCGCAGACAATGTGCACTGCTATAGGTCTGCAGGTTCCGTTCTAATTTCTCTTTCTGGTCTGTGCTTTCAGGACCCTGATAACCTCAACCAGGATGACTGGAAAGCTGGGTGGGTATGGAAGAATTGACTACTTAACTGCTGAAGACTATTTCAGCCCACTAGAGAGCCACTAGAGACACTGGAAGTCACCATAAGTGTCTGACTCCAGTGGGATGCTTTTCTCACCCTCTGTCTCTCAACTCAGTAAGAAATTGGGAGAGAACAAGACCACCTACCCCTAAGACTGAACACTTAGCATGTGTTGTAGTTGCTTTTCCTGATGCTGTGACAAAATACACAACAGCAGCTTCTTTCAGGAACTTTGTTTTCTTCTGATTGACAGCTCCAGAAGCATTTCAGAGTGATTCTATGGTGGCATGAACATGGGGTGAAGCTGATTATGTGGCAATCAGGTCAGGAAGTAGACAATGGCAAAGGAATCATGGCCAGGCTTAAAAGACTGTCCCCAGTGACCCGCCTCCACTGGTCAGGCTCCATCTCCTAAAGTTCCCATAGCATCCCAAAATAGTGGCACCAGCTGGTCACCAGATGTTCAAATGCATAAGCCTATTGGTAACATTTCACATGCAAACTTAACAGTATGTACATCCTCTACCTGGAGCTGTAATAGTAAAAGCATTTGGGGTTTCCAGAGTTGTTCTAGGATAGAAAGGAGAAAGACCGCTGAAGATTCCAGGGAATGTTTGGAATTACAGGGTATCGTTCACACTATTCATTTGGAAGTCTTCCACATCTGGGCTACAGAGATGGCTCAGTCAGTAAGTTGCTTTCCATGAAAGCTCGAAGATGGGAATTTGGAATCTCGGGACATATGTGGGGGGATAAAGCTGGACACGTCATCACATGCCTGCAGTCTCAGCCCTGGAGAGGTGGAGATGGAGATGGAGGATCCCTGGAGCTCTCTGATCAGCTGGCCTAGCTGAATCTGTGAGCTTCAGAGTCATGGAAAGACTGTTTCAAAAATTAAGGTGGGGATCAATTGAAGAAAACATCCAACATTGACCTCCACACACACAGCACTCAGGCAAGACACAGCATACCTGCATGCAAACATGTGCACACAAAATCACATAGACATGCATATACTACACACACACACACACACACACACACACACACACACACACACACACACACACACACACCTTCATGCAAACATGTGCACACAAAATCACTTATACATACATATATCATGCCCATGCATGCTCAGACACGCAAGCATGTATATGCAGAACCAACAACTTCTCTCTCATGTAAGAACTCAGGCCTCTAGTATTTCCCACCTGCCTGCTATTGGAGAAGAATCCAGGCGAGCCAGAAAGTACTCTTTTCCTACTTAGTTTTCTATTCAGAGAGTTTTGAAAAAGCAGGAATGTGAGGACAGTCAGTAACTGTGGTGACTTTTGTGTCATTGTCATGGCCAGTCTTGATCATCAACTGAGTGGGATTGAGAGTCGCCTAGATTACTAGCGCTTACCTCTGAGTGTGTGTGTGGACGTTGCTAGGAAGGGATGGGAATTTGGAATCTCAGGACGTATGTGTCCCTAAGGGAGGGAGCCCCATCTTGAATGGGGGGCGCCATTTTACAGACTGAGGCTCCGAGTGGAATAAGAGAGAGAAAAAAGGAGAAAGGCCACTAGCACAGTGATCTGTTTCCCCTCCCTCCTGTTCAGCCTCACCTTGGACCTGAAGGGACAGGGCCCGGGCCATTAGCTAAAAACCCCAGAAACAGCAAGACTCCACCTCCTTTGCTTTCCTCAGGGTTTGTCACGAGTCAGAAGGTCTGACTAACCCAGTTGTTAGTTTTCTCTACTTCCCAAAGTTAATTTTGCTTTTTGTCCTACTATACACATACACACATAAATACGCACATATGCACATTGTACATATACGTACACATTACATATACACATGTAGAATATTGTATATATATCACACAGTGCATGAATACATATATGCATATGTACATGACATAGACATTATAGAATCCTTTGAAGTGTTTCCATGCCTGAACAGAACATAGGCTGTATCTCATACATTAGCTATCATAGCTATTATAGATAGAGATTACATATGCATATCTCATGGTACAAATACCTGGAGCCTCACATTCTTTATTGGCCGCTGCAGATCTGTGCCCTACCCTCTCATCTGCAGTACTAACACAAGACCACACCTGCAGGCTCTGATCCCCTACTTGTGGCTTCATCCCCAACCATGAC